TGTTTGAGTTGAAGGAAGCCAAGAAAGACAAGAACATAGATGCATTCATCAAAAGCATAAGAACAATGTACTGGCTGGATGGTGGGCATTCTGGAGGAAGCAATACATGGGTCACATATCCAGAAGTCTTGAAAGAATTTGCTCAAACAGGGATTACTGTTCACACTCATGTAACACCTTACCAAGTACATGATCCAATGAGATCCTGGATTGGAAAGGAGCACAAGAAATTTGTTCAGATACTCGGGGATTTGGGTATGCAAGTGACCAGCCAAGTTCATTTTGCAAAGGAAACTCCTTCCATAGAGAATCATTTCAGGGTTCATGAAGTATTCTGAGACTATTAATGTGCTTGCTTAATGTGAGAATAAATATTTTGAGTGTTACAAATGCAGATTATAGATGCAAGATTAACGATGCATCGTCAGTTTGTGGGCTAAGAAGATGCACATTCCAAAAATATGAGTGTCAAATACAATAGGATTTTTTTTGCTTGTAAATGTGGGCAGTTTTAAATTCTGATCGGATTAGAATTAGTTTGAAATCTAAAAGGGTAGTTTGTGCTAATTCTATGACCATTAAAATGAAAGCAACCATGTTAGTTCTTTTTTTAAAGGTAACAAAATTGGTGTTGGAAATAGCCGACTTTTCTGAGACCTATTTTAATCTAGCTTTGTTACTAATGGCGTTCAGCTGTTGACTAGAGACACTTCACTTCTCTTTGTCCAACACTCTGGGGACAACTGCACTCTGCATCTAGACCCCTGGGGTTTCTGAACCCCCTGGACTCATTCTCAGTGTTCCACCAAGTGTTTTGTTTTTTAAAGTCAAAATATATTTATTCCCTCATATCCAAGATCATAGAATTGAATAGTTGGTTTTTAAAACATATTACGTTGAGCACTGTAACTTAATTCTTAATTGTCGGTTTTTAATTATTTGTTAGTATGCTCTCAAAATGAGACAGATTTCACAGACCTAAATCAGCATTTCTTCAGAAGCATGGTTTTGTCTGCCAAGAGAAAATAGCTTTCTTTGGCCAAATGTAAAATTAAATTGATGAGATAAGAAAGGTTACAAAGGAAGGTTTGAAGACACAAATAATTTAAATTTTGGCCCAGAAACTGAATTTGCTTAACACTGCTACATAATTTAGGCACATTTTTCTTTACTAGAAAAATGCATTTTGAGAAACCTAGATCTACCGAATTTTAAACAGTATCGGAACATAGCTGTGTAGTTTTGAAAAGTGGTCAGGCACTTTATTTATAAATAATGCTGTGTAGGTCATGAAATAATTAAACAGGGAACTAAAACCTGCTGCTTTGGGATTGGCAAGAAACTGTACTAAAGAATGGCACCTCCCAGGCCCAGCGAGCTAGTCTATTTATCAAACAGTATGGAAAACGTTAAGTCTTTGATTTCTTCCAAAATTACATCTTATATTCCAAATATTCACTTATGATAAAGGATTCCTTCACACATGATGTTTAAAATCAAAAAAGAAAAAAAAAAGAACATGATTCCATCAACTACAGTTGAATATCTACATTTTCATAAGTAATTTTATATTGTCCCACTTTCTTTGAATATCCATTCTTTTGAGATCAACAGTTTCCACAGTAGAAACAACTCACCTGGTTTCTAACTTACTATGTATTTCCTTAATGTTAGCACTGTGATTGGATGGCTATCTTCAATTTGTTTAATAATCCTCCATGTGTCATTTAATGTAAAACTGCTGAACTACTGAACGGTCATACAGAGGGGAAAGGCATTAGTTTTCACAGGATTAACTGAAGAGGAAAGAGAAGGATTTTCCTTTAAGCACTCACTGTTGAGTTAGTTCTACACCTCTCTATTCATGTGAATGTTCAACTGTTACATGTTAAAGTGAATGTTGATCAGATGGACACTAGAACCGTCGTTACCTCTGCATAGTGTTAAGTAGTACAGATGCTTTGTAGCGGAAATGATTAAGTTGACCCTCACACAGGTATTTCTGTTTAATACTTCAAACAGGTCCTTTTCTTCATCTGTTTAAAATTGTATGTGTTAAATTTTTTATGGTAAACATGCATCCTACTTGATTGTGCCTTTGTAAAGAGTCACTGAGAGAAGTGGTCCTACAAATGTGAACATTGTTACCACTACAGCATGAATGTATAATTATATTAAAAATAATCCACAGAAATGTTATTTGGATGTGTTTATCTGTTCACTCAGATAATTTGAAAGGAAATGCTTCACCTTGCCATTTTGGGTGTCTGTCTTTACTTTCCTCTTTTTCCATGAACAACTTTTCATTGAGTACACACACCTCTTAATTATTCCATAACCAACTGCATTATACCCATTTCTTCTGTTGGGCTTCTAGAGGAAATCCTTAAAAAGCTTCTCCCTTTTCTTTGTCAATCATCTTAGCTGTCTATACTTCTTTATTTCCATAAAAGACCTTTGGAATATAGTGTGTTATTCTCATTTATGCAGTGTCCAAGTGCCCACATAGTATAAGGTGAATCTGAGCTACAAGGATTTAACATCAAGTTCCAGCATGTTCGTGGAGAACTACAACAGCCTAGAGCTTAGGAAGGAATGTCTGAAACAGTATTGTAACTCATTCAGAGGCTTTTGGTGAAACACACATTAAGGAGTAAGGAATAAGTGGTCTCCTATGTGATTCACATGCTTAAACTGTGTGGGCCTACCCATTCTGAGTCATCACCTGAGTGATGCAAACGACTCAGAAGTCGTTTTAGTGTCTCCTGCTACGTTTAAGACACCCACAATTTGTACCTTTCAAGCAAAGTTAACACCAGAGTGCCAGCCTGTGAGTTCCCCTGACCCATCTGTTTCCCAACACTGGAGGAAAGACTTACAATGGCACAGTCCCAAATTGTGTCATAACCTGCTTGCACCTCCCTGAACTGCCTCTCCTACCCCATAACTCCATAGATTTTTTTTGTAGGCATGAGCTATGCCTTGTTCTTTGCAAATGTTCATATAGCTGCTACAAAAGAATGAAAATTTAGCTTTGTTGACTGTCTCTTGGTATTTCATACATTCTGAAATTATGAATAAATACTCTTAATGTATTCATATGCTAAGACAAACAGTGTCATGGAAAGCTAATGTTTTGAACACAGAATGTACAAAGCTACAGATCTGTATGCCCTGTGATTACTCAGCCTCATCTCAGGCAATTGCTGTCACTGGGTTGGTTCTGTACCTAGCAGAGCTCATTCTATGTAAGCATTACATAGAGTATACATTGTACAAATGGCAGCACAGTTTTCATGTAATGAAATTAGACAAATTCTATGCCAACTCATAACTGCCTGACTCCTTGGTTTCGTATTTTGTCTCATATTTTGCCATCATCTTCCCATTGACTATTTAATTTGCATCCATGTCTGCATGTAGTAAGCAGCACATTATTTTGCTGGGAGAAAACTACTGTTAAGCCCTGAATCCGCTGAAAGAATGGGATATGACTAATATGGTCACTAGCACTGTAATCCCGGTTTCTGTAGCAGAACCTAATTCTGTTCTTACTTATCCAGAACCATCTGTGTAACCCAGGGTGATTAGATCATTCCTAAAATTGATTCAATAAAAAATTTTGAGTTCAGTGAGTTACATTAATGTATATTTTACTCATTTGGCCTTAAACTAAGATTAAAAAAAAAAAATGCGACCAGGAGGATTGTCTTAAAACTTGTCAAAGAATTCACTGCAGTGTTGCAGACCACTGAAAGAGGAGTTAGAAACTTTGAGAAAAAATACAGAGTAACTAGCACCACACATATGTGCTTTTCCTTAAGTGGCTTTTGTAGTGTATCAGTTATATTTTCAAGATTTGGTTCAGATTTTAACTTTTCTACATGACCTTTGCCTTTACTGCTGGGGTCTGATCCCAGTTAAGTAAGTGCTCTACTACTGTGTTCCCAGCCCTCTATGTAACTCTGGATTTATTCAAAGCTAACTAAATACTGTATGAACTAAGGACTTTCAACTTTTTCCTGAGAGAAAAATCATTAAATAAGTTCTGTGTTCAAGCTAAGAAGTAAAGATTTAAAATAATCTGGTAATTTAACCTTGTTTATCTCAGTAATTTCAGTTTATCTTCCAAAGATGCCTAGGAAAAGTCAAGAATTTTTTTATTTTTCCTTTCTTGTCTATTATCATTTCCTTTGAATCCCTGAAATGAACTAGTTCAACTCTAAGCAGTGAATGATTTACTACTACCTTCAAGAGTAACTACTTCCTCTACAATGTATTAAATTGATAGCCTTAGATTACTTTTGATGGACACACATTCAATAAGGTCAGTTGTTCTTCAGTGGCACTGAGTGAATTAGTTACAGAGAACACATGCACAGCTCACTGTCTTCAAAAATTACTTTAGTGGGATTTCTCATCTTAAAAAAAGTATTTGAAAAACTAGAACTACTACAGAAGTATTTGAAGGGAAAACATCAGGAAAGGCCGGCAGCAAATGAGCTTTCTTTGGGATAAATCCCAGAACTCAAGATCTATCACACTATCAAATCGACTTATTCTTAGATTCCTGATAATTCAAAGCAGCTTGTAAGTTTCCTTAAATATCTAAACATAATCATTCTGTTCTCTTAGTACACTTCTTGTACCTCAAGGAAGAGCAGCCCACTCCGAGGTGTAATTTTACAGCATGTGATAACAACAGACTCATTGATGGACGGGGGAAGACATTTCAAAGCATTAAGGCTAAGGGAATTCTGGAAAGCTGCTTCATGTAAGACCGTGCCTGTGGATTCCAGCCAGACTCCTCCACTGCATACAAATGAAGACACACAAGGCCCCAGCTGCTACTGGCAATCATCCCATGACCACGAGGGTAGCTAGACCTAGGATAATGCCAATCCTGTGGTTGAAAGACAGTAGGGTGGGGGATGGGGTGAACAAGGTTTTGGTAGTATCACTAAATCATTGAAAAAAAACAAAGAAGGCCACTCCATCAGTAGACTTTATGTAGTATAGTTTAATAGATTTTTTATTAACTCCAAATTTTACTTATTTACATCTTAGAGCTAAAGAACTCTCCTACTAAATATCCTCAGTTACCAAGGAGAAATCAGATATGCATCTCCTTTTACACTATAAATCTCAGACTTATGTTTCCTATTTTAAAAAGCATCTTTAAATTTTATATCTTGTTACAGTTTTCAAATACTTGAGCTGCTTTTCATTTATTTTTAAATTTTTATTCCATTTAGTTCCTTTTTTACTCAGTTCTTGCTGTAGGCTTTGTCTTGAATGCGTAAGACCATTTGGCGCGCATAGAAGTCCCTGTATTCCTCTGGTAATTCAGCCAGGGTTTTCAAAGCTCTGTCCAAGATCTGCACTGCTCTGGCTGCTGCTACAGGATCTTTGTTGCCATAGGTATCTGTTGTGTCATAGCATTCCGATGGAAGGTGCTTCCAGAAGACATTCACCCCCACTCCAAACTCTTCAGAAACTACATTATGGAACCATAAAGCTGCAGAAAGTTTAAAAAAAAAAAGTTAAAAATAAAACCTACAGTTAAAAAAAAAAAAAAAAAACAAATGTCAGTGAAATACCACGAGTTGCATAAAGCCAGTCTGTAGCAAGCTCCTGTCGCTTGCATGCTCTCTGCTTCCCAGTCACTCACTTATCTGCCAGCTAGCTCAGTGTCAGGAGCACAGCCCTTGAGGAATTGTCATTTTCCCATCTAGCTTGAGAGACATAATGAAGTTGTATTTGCTTTGGGATTCTCAGATTCAGGGCAGTCTTTTGTGTCACATGTCTGCACGTCCTGATTTACACAACCACATCAGAGCATGGGGCGTTTCGTACACAGAACATTTTAATTAGTTAAAAACTATGGCTGGTCCTTTGTGATGCGATACAGTACTTGGTCTCAAACACTTCCTGTTCCAGTGACAATCTGATTCCTAACATGGGCAACATGCACTGTTGCTTCATTTTTACATCTCTAAGGTTCTTAGGTCCATCCTCTATTTTTTTTCAGCTTCTTTACTATAAATTATGAAAAACTACAGCAAATCCTTTGCTGATAGTGGTGATAAAGAAGAAACTTGATCACATTATTGAGCTATTTTTTTCATTTGCACTAGAAAGTTTACTGTTTTCAACTAACATTTTCAAAATGGAAGTGCTAGAAGAATATTAAAGAACACCTCAATGAAACAGATGGAATGCTAATCATGCCAAGAAATGTTTTAGTCTTGTGAAAGGAGGGTTTAAACGGTAAAGGCATACCTCATGGAAAAACAATACTTTTATTTATAAAAGTAATCTTGCAACACTTTCGGTTTTAATTATAAGATCTTTCAGAATCTTCTTTCACTTGTCAATATAACAGAACAAGTTAACATCCTGATAATTAAATCTAAAAATGGGAATCTTGGTTTTATATTAAAATATATGCAAATATCTAACCTATAAAAACCAAATACAGAATGAGAAAACTTCATAGCTGTAATCATGTTCTAAAGATATGAAAACCAAGGTGTGGTTGCTGAAAAGAGTACAGTAGTCAGTCAGTGCACCACAGTCGTGCGTCAGCTGTATGGCAAGTGCTGCTCTTTGAGGAATATAAAACTTAGTGAGAACATGGCTCCTTATGCTCAAGGAATTACAATCTAACCAAGTATGTCACCTGATTTTTACTGTTTACGAATATTTCAAAAGTTAATTCTACCACTCAATAAAGGTATCAATAGTTCAGGACTACAAATGTATTAATTACAGAAAATAGAATTACGTAAGTGAAATTGGCCAATAAACCCCATTACTTTTGGTCTTTATAATCTTCAAGCATCCACTTAAGTATTAATTTACAAATATTAGCCATATAATCATAGTTACTAACAACATGGAAAATTTATAAGCATCTAAATTAATGTGTATTTATTGAACACAGAAACTATACAAAAAATTTTTTTCAGATGTTGATATTATAATATGTAATAAAACCTCATTATCTTTTAGAAATGGTAATTTTTTTTATCATTTCTAAAATGTCTATATACTTTAGAAATAAAATAATTTTTAAAAAAACAACCAGGTACAATCTTTTCTCAGATACAATGATATTCATGATTTTAGTAAAGTAACTCACTATACTACCTTAACAAGTTATGGATTGCTTTATGACAGGAATACATTTTGAGAAAACATCATGTAGTTGTGTGAATAACACAGATGGAATGACCTACTACATTCCTACACTAATGATACACCCTATTGCTAAGACAGTAAAAACGTGTATAAGCTTGCTGTTCTGAAGAACATAGGCAGCTGTGATATCTAGACCCAAATTAAAAAAATACATTAGTGTGGTTTAGAAACCTACCAGGAATGAACAGGACATCACCAGCTTCAAGGAAACACTCATACCTCCTTGCCTTAGGAAAGAGTGGGTATTTATCCAGGTCTGGACTGTCAATATTCAGCACTTCTGATTTAGAACCTGAAAGTTTCCAAGAGAGATCATGGTTGAACCAAGTCCACATTTTAGAAAGCAATCACAAATATAAACTTGAAACTTAGTTCTAGGAACCTAATTTTCAATGACCATTCTTTAAATATGACAACTGACATCCAGCATCTGATAATCTGAAAACGCTCTCTCTCTCGCTCTCGCTCTCGCTCTCGCTCTCGCTCTCTCTCTCTCTCTCTCTCTCTCTCTCTCTCTCTCTCTCTCTCTCTCTCTCTCTCTCTCTGTGTGTGTGTGTGTGTGTGTGTGTGTGTGTGTGTGTGTGTGTCTATAATTTGTTTGGCTGTTTAGTTTTTGAGACAGCTTCTCACATATCCCAGGCTGACCTTGAACTATATGTAGCTGAGCAAGGACTGGCCTTAAACTTCTGATCCTGTTTGTTTTTGTTTTTTTGTTGGTTTTTTTTTGTTTGTTTTTTTGTTTTGTTTTGTTTTTGACACAGGGTTTCTCTGTGTAGCCAGGACTACCCTGGAACTCACTCTATAGCCCAGCCTACTCAGAAATCCACTAGCCTCAGCCTCCTCAGTGCTGGGATTTAGGGAGTGTGCCACTACACCTGGCCTTGAAAACTCCTTCTTTATACTGCCTATCACTCACTATACACACAATGGAAAATACAGTACATTTAGGAAGAAGTATCCTACAACATGGTCTTCCTATATTATTTAAAAATAACTGAATAAATTCTAGAAACAAATTAAATCATACCTGATAAATATAAATATTGTGCATCCCGAGGATTGAACAGTGTAATTCGCTTCTTTCCTGTCACTTGTATTAAAAAGTTATCCATTACCTAAAGATCAATAAGGAGATGTGTAAGCAGTATCTAAAATTCAATTCAATGACATTCTAAATAGTTAACTTCAAACCCTATTCTTTTTTCTTCTGGGGGTAGGGTGCAGGTTGCACAGGATCTTACTGTGTTGCCCACACTGACCTTCTTATCCTCGGGCCTCAGCTCTGAGCAGCTGAGATCACATATCTGAGTTACTACATGCTACTTAAAGCCTATTCCTTTTGTGAGACTTGACTTACACAGAACTCTTACAGTTATAATTCAAACCAAACAATGAAAATTTTTTATTCCTATATAAGTGTCTTTAGAAGACATTCCTTCCCATGTAACGACATGGAAAGGACCAGCGAATTAGGAAAACAGGAAGTGGAAATACAGTGTTAAGTATACCTGAGACTGCCTTTGGTTAATGTTTATCTTGCTAAGTTGTTGAGGAATACCTTGGGTCAAATAGAAAGCACTAACACAGCTACTGTTAAACACTGCATACACATCACCCACAGCATGGTCATGAAAACTGTGATTATGAGACTATGTGTAGAGGACTACACAATCAGGCAAATTTCCATAGTATGTTTCTCAATGAATCACTGTTAACTTCCCCTGGGTATATAAGGTGCAGACTGTGCAAATGTTAAAAGGCAGAGGCACATGACTCAGTTGAAGAATTAAGGCATACACTGAGTGAGCGATCATCCGTGCATTGTTACTACTGACACAATCTTTTAGCACTAACCCTTCACTAGCAAACCTTAACTCTGTAATTATAACCTTTCTTCCTAACTTCTTCTTAAGAAAAGCATTATATTCTATTGTAATTCAATGTCAAATGAAATAGTTAAAATTTAAAGCATAGTCTATGAAGCTAAAAATGTATGAAGAACATCATTTTCTCACCAATCATTCCAATACAACTTTGAAAATACGATAAGATTTCATGTCTGTTTCATCTAATTATAGTTCCTATGTTGAAATCCCCTAGAAGTTTTAGGATGTACTAGAAAATCCATATACATGACATCACAGTTTGGCGTGTTGTCCACACACCTAGATTCCTGCCGGTTGGGAGGCAGAGAAAGAAAGGTCTAAAGTCAAGTCCACCCAGGGGTTCAAAACAAGAGTCCCATTTCAAAACACCAAAAGGCTCTGGAAAAGTACTGGTTACTGCATTGGATTCTTGTTTCTCTGGCTGCCAACACCAAACTGTACACAACACCATTTAAATTTTGCTTATTATGTTTACATGTATATTACAGCAAATAAAACCATAACAACACAGACTCAAGATCAAAGACTGCACATCCTGCTCATATACAAATCAATAAACAACCGATATTCTTAAAGGATATATCCTAAGACCTCCAGGTACCTCAAATTCTTATCCTTGCAAATCCTTCCCTATAAGCTCTACCATTCCCCTATATAATATGACTTGGACAGCCAGTCAATTGTTTCATTAAGACACTTTCTATCACACTGCTTTGCCCTTCTACATTTCCCCCTACTAACCCCAAAGACCCCTTTTCACAGGCCAAAACCATAACTCCCTTTCCCCTCTGGTTTGTTACGTCTGTGATGATATAAGAACCAGGCTTTGCTCTCAGCACATTACTCCTGCCCCTCTTACTCTCACAGCTCCGCTTTTCTGCCCATGACACTACACAGATCTACACACTAGTCGATAAAGCTCAGACCATGAACATTAGACCTGTAAAAGCAATAGACTTCTGAACCTTTACATTTCTTATTTTGTAACATACATCATAGTGAGTCCAGAGCCGCAATCCAGGTGAACTAATTCGAAAAACACTGGAAAAGAACTGCTCCTCTCTGAAGAACATTGGAAATGTAATATCTCCTCCTAATGATGGAAACTGCTGTCTGATGTCTGCAACGTCCTGAATTGACAGACAGACATACAAAAGTACTTAGATTAGAATCTGGAAAGAATTCCATAATAAACAGAGGATTGAGGATCATGAAATCGTCCACATATCAAGTAGTAAGGACGAAGAAGCAGTCTTCATCCCATGCTTTAAAGGCCAACAATAGGAAAAGCACAGTAGCAACACCCAACCTTCCCAGTGAGGGAGTTCTTCCTACTTTCAGCAAGACTCATATATTTTTTTCTTAATAATTTGGCTCTGAATACACATAAAGGCTTATCTAATAAATCTTCAGTACTTTTAGGTAAGTATGTCATTAGTGGAACATTAGCAGTAGGGATTCTTATTGTGTGTAAATTAGATGATTCTAAGATTCTGTAGTTCTGAGTAAATAATCAACTTTTAAAGACTTCTCATTCAGGGGCACAGATCATCGAAAGAACCAGATGACAATGACATAGGTTATATGTCCAACAATAATATAAAATTTAGAGTGATAATGTGAAAATGCTCACTGACATTTTGAAGCAGTGAGTGACTACTTCAAATCCACAATTCTTACCTTCCTCGGGTCTTCTCCAAGTGACCGTAAGTAATATTTCTCATCCTTAAACATCCCAAAGAAAAATTCCATCAGCATTCATTAAAAAAAAAAATAAATAAGAAGGGAGTGAAACTTAAAATATGATTTGGTTAGATCATATAAAAAGTTCAATTACCTTACTCTTTCTACTGATGCACCCTGGTGGCCACAGAAAGAAATGTATGCTGCTCAAAACTGGATCGACAAAACAGTAAATAAAACAATTCTAAAGGCAGCATAAGCATGCCTGAAGCACCTGAGAAACATATACTTCCACTCACATGGTTTTAACATTTGGTAAATAAAATGAGTCCAACAATAAACTTGATACAATATAAAATGAGGTAAATAAAAACCTCACCCTTTAGCACATTAAAAAACAGGAGACTGCATTGTGCCAGACTGTGTTTATCCCCAATAATCTGCATTCTTGCACTAAGACCTTCTGAAGAGTCAGCTCATGCATGACTCAGAAATGATGCAAGTAGTTTCAAAAGTGATCATTTACACTTCTGACTGCCTGAGTAGCTAAATAAGAGAACGGATTATAAAACAGTCACTGTAGGGCTAAGTCCAAAGTTCCCAGCACCTGTGGCACCCTGGATTCTATTACTAGCACCACAAACAACAAAACCACCCCTGCTATGTACATTTCCTTGGAGACGGAGAACTGAGATCAAGCAGTCAAGTACAGGCACAATCCAATGGAAGAATTCTGCCTTCCAAGAAACCAATACAGAATGCTATAACATAAACTTCAAGGTATATCTCATTGAACTTTATAAATCTACAATTATAAATTAACAATTTAGTTATTTTCATATTTTAATGTCACAATGAAGTCATTCTTGAAATAAGCTTCAAAGTATGTTCTTCAAAATCTGAATTGTGATTTAGCATAAATGTATTGCTTAGGTCTCCATCAAGAAAGAGCTCTTGCTTATTTGAAAAGAATGCATTTAATCTGGGGCTGCTAGCAGTCAATTTCTTCATGTTCACCTCAGCATGTGACCCCAGGTTACACTGTCCACATATGGTAGACCCACACAATCAAAGAAGATGGTAAGAGGTCTAAAGCTGCCACCTATGCAGGACTCCTCTGATGAATAGTCTTTGCTCAGGGTTTCACAGGGAACTGGAAGACTGCCAGCTGTGTACAGTTGTGTCTGATGGCTCCCCACCAGACACCCCAAGTCCTCTCCAGCTTCCTCTTCCTTCCTCTCACAGGCATTACTATGCATCAGGCATTACTCCCTGATGTTCTGAGTCCAATCTCAGTGTCAATTTTCCTTCTGACTTAACTGAGAATCCATGTAAGTCTGTTTATGTACACTCCATAATTTTTAAACTTAACTTTTTAGTTTGTCTTTGATTCTTTTACAACAAATTTCATGGCTATTTAAATCTATGCCATTCATTAACTTTTGATGAGAAAACAAATCCTTAAAAGCAATGAATATCCACATGCAAAGAATGGCCACAGTACTGAGGAACAACTAACGAAGGCTGGTTTTAAGAGACATTCTAATCACGGCTAGGCTGGAAGTCCACCCCTTGTGTTTCTTCTCAAGATGGCTGTCTACCTTGTTTTCTGAGACAGCTCACCAATTTGGCTATGCTGGTAGGTCAGTAAGCTCCAGGATCCTCTTGTCTCTCAAGAGGATTTAGTCCCCAGCACTAAAATTATTATAAGTATGTGCCAGGATGCCCAGCATTTTTACATACGTGCTGGGGATCAAACCTATATCCTCATGCTTACTCTGCAAATACTTTACCAACTAAGGTATCACTCCAACTCTAACAGAATTTAAAACTGTACTTATATATAAGCATTAATTACTGCCCTAATCAAGATACTTAAATATATAATTACTCAGAACTACACTATAATATAAAATCCTGCTTTAATCTTGAACAAATATTACACAGATAAAAGAAACTACTTGTAACTATAAAATGTGGAAATTGTAATATAGGATATGAAAAGAAAATTTTCTATTAACATTTGAACTTTTCCAGAGGAAATAGGGTTAATGATTAATAGTTGATAAGTAGTTTCTGTGTCAGGCACACTGATAAGTATACATTATTTTATTTGCTTAGTCCTTTCAAAAACCTATGAAATAAACAGTTTTTAGTCTTCATGTAGAGATAAGTATATTTAAGAAAAAATAATTTGGCCAAGGTTTGAGAGCTAATAAATAGTAGAGCAACAGCTTGGAGAATAACCAACCAAAGTTTAAGAACGGCTATGCACTGGGAGGCAGAGGCAGGCAGATCTCTGAGTTCAAGGCCAGCCTGGTTTACAGAGTGAGTTTCAGAATAGTCAGAGAAACCCTGTCTCAAAACACAACAAATAAACAAAAACCACAAAGAACGGCTATCTGGAACTAGAACTCTGAGACATCATTATTTTTGATCATTTGTAGAAAACGACCTACTGGTCCTTTACAAAGAAGTCCATTGAGGGATGGCTCATAGATAAAGTGCTTGCTGTGTAAACAGAAGGCTGGTTCAATAACCAGCACCAATGTAAAAACAGCCTTATGTGGCAGTGTGTACTTATAATTCTGGTACTGGGGACAAAGACAAGAGATTCACCGGAGCCTACTGATTAGCTAACCTTCCAGATTCCAAAAGGCTTTTCCTCATAAAAAATAAGGAAGAGAGTGACTGAGGATGACACTTGATGCCAACCTCTGACCCCCACACACGCATACACATATAAAACCCATTTTCTATATGGCTTTGGGGATTTCTTAAAAAAAATTACCTTTGAAATGAAGAATTCTTTATGTGTTTCTTCAGCTGCTCTCTGGACCAACTTGTTAAAAGGTAAAGTTCTGAAATAAACATAACAGAATCCTTAGATGTAAAAATAACACACCAACTAGTAATTCATTCACTATGCATGCAGACTTGGTATAGTTGAGTGTCACATGCTTTGAAAAATGCAGTTTTTAGTATAATCCATGTGGATGGAATCCTGAATATTCAAAACTCATTTAGCAGTATATAAATTTGACCTGTTACCTGAATTTTTAGCCTTAAAGATTTTAAATATATGGTGCAGGTGGATCTTCAAAGGTCACTGTCCTTCTGTTCAAGTTACTGAGAGAGATGCTTCCACAGTGTCAGGTTACTTTGAAATTACACAAACTAGAGCTGCAGAGAAGGCTCAGTGTTAAGAGCACTGCTGCTCTAGAGGACCATGTGCGTTCAGTTCCCAGCTCCCACATGCATGGCTCACAACCGTCCGTAACTCCCATTTCAGAGGACCCAATGCTCTCTTCTGGCCTTGGGCACCAGACATACATGCAGTGTACTTACTGCAATGTACATACATACATGCAAGCAACTCATCCACATAAAATCTAAGTTTAAAATTAAAACAACACAGACTTTGGGGCTCTGATTGGCCCATGTCTTTAAGTGTAATGGGCAAACAAATCTTGTAAATAGGACAATCTACTAGTCTCACACGAGTAACGAGATTACTAGGGAAGACATTCCTGCCCCTCACTCCTGCTCTACCTGCCATGTTACAGCTTCTAGAGAAAATGGTTAGATATTTAAGAAACAATATTTGTTTCCAGTATATCATACTTTTCAAGTCAGAGGGTTATTTTTGCTCCAGTTGTCCTAGAACTTCCCAGAACTAAAAGCACTTTCCAGATGTAGTTTAGCAGCAGAAGTCTTCCTAGCTATCACTAGACTCTGGCTTCTAACCCTATTACCAATCAATCAATTGATTAATTTTTAAAAAATTGCAAAACCATTTCTCAATCATGAAGATAGTACTACATCAATAACAAGACAAAGAAGTCCTCAAAAGTTCGCCCTCCAATCAATCCCCACTGAAAACCTGTCAGCCTCATGACCAAGTACGCGTAATGGGAGTATAGGTGGAAGAGCTACTGTAGTGGTTTGTAAATGCTCGGCCCAGGGAGTAGCGTTATTAGGAGGTGTGGCCTTGTTGGAGGAAGTGTCACTGTGGAGGTGGGCTTAGAAACCCTCCTGCTAGCTACGTGGGAGCCAGTTTTCTCCTGTTTTGCCTTCTGAACAAGATGTAGAACTCTCAGCTCCTCCAGCGTCATGCCTGCCTGGATGATAATGAACTGAATGTATAAGCCAGCCCCAATTAAATGTTGTCCTTTATAGAGGTTGTCTTGGTCATGGGTGTCTCTTTACAGCGATGGAAACCCTAAGACAGTTATAAACTATATCATCTATGAAATGATGACTTGGGCTAACTAACTTTTTCCTAGTATTGTTGTTTTCCTAGAAACATACTAGAAAAAGATGAAGGTTTGATGTCAACTATGATACCAAACAATGCTGTTTACAGGAATGTGGTTTTCCTGTGTACAGTGTGTGAAAATGCCCTTAAAGAGATCCATGAGCTGCTGTGGCCTATTTCAAGACCCTGGCTTTGGGAACACTTACCTAAGCTGGGGCATGTTTCAGTGCCACCTCCATAGTCTTGCTCTGTTAAGACCAAGATAGCACTGCTTGGCCCAAAATGACTTGGATCTACAGAATTCACTGATAACATTCTGCTAACATGCTGCTTCCAGCCTTTTGTTCTTCTAAAAACCTAAGTGACTTTTCTGTCACATTGTAAAGTGTGGGTCCTGTGAGTGTTAATATCAATCTAAACTGAAGCTATTGCTGGGAGTGGGGTAGAGTGAGTACTGCAGAAAGACAGGGCTCTGATATTTCCTGAGACCAATGCAGGGCCATCTCCTACTACAAAGCACTTACTTGGCACTCTGCTTTTCAATGCTTCCTACCAAAAGCCTCACTATACGCGCACACACACCTATCATCCCTGCCAAAGCCTCTTTTAAGATCTGGGGAGGTTAATATGGCACCTGTGTAATTGGGGTAATTGCTTACCCCTAGTAGGCACTCCCTTACTAGGGAGAACAGAGGAATGCTTGTAACTTTTCCACAAAAGCTAGGCTGACAAGTGACCCTGCATCCCGAGAAGTACAACCTTATTCTGTCCACAACCTTATCCCTACCAGCTGTTAGGAAGTTCCTCAGCCTTAGGCTCTCTGTGCCCCATAAGGCTCTAAGCAGAAGGTCTTCTATTACAGTGTCTTCTCTTAGGACCAGTACTTACAACAGTAAGTGAGATTATCAAAAAAGGATTCCATGGTTTCTACGACAGGCAAATTTGAATACACAGCCTAGTTTTTTTTATCATTTTAAACTATATGATCTTAGACAAATCATTTAATTTTAATTAAAAAAATTATTACATGTTTATTTGTGTGTAAGGAAGAGGATGTGGATGGGTACATTCACACCATGGCCCGCACGTGTGTGTGTGTGTGTTTGTGTTCTTCTACCATGTGTCCGGGACATCAAACTTAGGTCATCAAAGCTGCAACACGCACTTTATTCTCTGAGCCAAGTTACTTTTTTTAAACCTTCATTTTTCTCATCTGTAAAATCATCATAAGCAATATTTGTACTTATCATCTTATATTTTAAACAGAAAAAAACAACACACCTACTTTTTTCCTTGCACTAAAATAATTGTTCATGTTCTTAGTAGCTCTAGTGAAGGCTGTGAAGAAGCTGGAATAGAAACTATTTCATTATGTATATGTTTGAAAAGCAAGTTTTGAAAAGTTTAAGATATAAGAAAACATCAAACCCATTCAGGATAAAGTTTCAATACCCACTTGTTACCACATTAGACTATGGAAAATAAGTAATATTAACCACAGGCTGAAGAACACTCATCACTCCAGTACTTTCTTCCACTTTCTTGATTAAATTAAAAGTGCCAAGTTCTTACCCTTGGAAAAACTTATGGCAATTAAATTCAATCTGTGGCCTGTGAAGTATCCCAGAGCTACAGTGGTGCCTACTCACTCCGATACTGAGAAGTGCTGCGGCAACTACCACACAGGCTTGGAAAGTGGAACGGCCTGAACAGAAACCATTCAGCTCATCTCTAACCTGAAATCCTCTGTGAATAACAGGGTCTTTTCAAGAGATTTCATTTACTGGGAACTGCACATGCTAAGAATGTGAACACTGATTTTTAACCTAACATTTTTAATGAACTGCGTGGGAATAAATAGTGCATTGCATCTACAAGGTGACCTTAAGGCTTTCAAGCTTAGATGTTCAGCAGCTGATTTACCCACCAAAGATGACAAAGTATCAAACAAGCATGAAAGATGTTATCAGCACGCAAGGTCATTTCATCAGGAGAAGATTCAGCATGGGTTTTAAATGCTACTAAACTAAAGAAAGTGCACACCAAATACAGGCAGCCCTCTGCTTTTTGAGACGAAGAAAAAAAATAAGGGGCTTTAAGAAAACTCCCTGTGCTGGGTAACGGCAGCAGACATGGGTCAGTAAAGACTGAACGAACACAGAACACAACTTCAGAGGCAACCTAACTCCAAGAATAGAATTCCCTGTTCCCTGACTCCACAGAACACAGGGTGCACCCTATATTTAAAAAATAAACCTGTGGAAAATGTCTCTGTACAATTATGTAAACTCAGAATTCTTGTCTTTTAAGCCACTCATTAAAAAGGAGTAAGCTATTCCATGATTACATAAACTAGACTACAGATGAAATGCAGTGTGGTCTTTATATAATGATGTAAACTATTTTTAAAGATTTGAAAAGTTATTTGTAACCTCAGAAGAAAATACCTATAGACAAAGTTCTTACTAATGAAGTCCATCTGTGCGACGGGGGCAACATGAATCTTCACTTCTCTCGCCCCTCCAGTTTGACTCAGGTAATCCACTGTCCATTTGCTTGTACAAGAGCCTAAGTCAAGTCCTTCCAACACAAGAGGCTTTCTCTGGAATGAAGGGGAAAAACACAGCAACTGTAAAAACCAGCACTCCATCAAATGCTTCCTTAGTATCCGAGTGTGGCTTTCATCTCAGCCTAAGATGTCCAACTTAAAGTATCTAATAGTTTGTGCTATTACTAAACCTACATCAGACACCTAGAACAAACTTAAGAACTGGAAAACAAAACCACCTTATCAACAGATAAATTCAAATATGAAGGTATTTTTACATTATTTATGGCAAAAAATATAAATTTTACCTTATTTTTATAACTTTTAATTTTGATATCATTTTAAGTTTCTAAGAAATGCAAGAACGTAAGTATTTGCCTCTCTACTGGATTCACCAGCTTTCCAATATGCACTCCATTTATGATATCACTTGCTCCCAAACTCAGTGTATAAAGATAGACATGTTATTAACCCGAATTTTTCTGGACCATTTCAAAGTTAAATTGTTAACATCATGTCCTCTCACCTCCAAACTTAAGTATATCTTCTGAAAACAAAGCTATTCTCTTACGGAGCAATTATCAAAGTTGCATTTCACACTGACATATTATATAACGTACCATGTGCATCTGAATTTCACTAATTATCCCAATAATTTTCTTTCAAGTTCTTTCCCTGACCCAGAATTCAGGCTGAGATGCCACATCAGATTTAGTGAGCACAGCTCTTTCCATCTGGAACGGCTCATCAGCTTTCTTTGTCTTCTATGACCTTAATATATTTGAACACACAGGCCAATTATTTTGTTGAATGCCCTTGGATTAGGGTTTATCTCATTTCTTCATGAATAGATTTGAGTAAGGACTGTTCCACAGAAGGAATGGTGTAGAACTCCCAGGGCATATCAGGTGCCACTCAGTCTCTTTGCCACCAGCTTTACTGGCATAATTTTAATGCTCAAATTATTGGAGATTTGACCAGAAGGCTGTTTTGTTTGTTTGTTTGTGACTTTATTTATTTTTATTTATTTATTTATTTATTTATTTTTGGTTTTTCGAGACAGGGTTTCTCTGTGTAGTCCTGGCTGTCCTGGAACTCACTCTGTAGACCAGGCTGGCCTCGAACTCAGAAATCCGCCTGCCTCTGCCTCCCAAGTGCTGGGATTAAAGGCATGCGCCACCACTGCCCAGCAAATATTCTTGTCATTTTCCCTTTTTTTTTTTTTTTTTAGATTTATGTATATGTTGCTGTCTTCAGACACACCAGAAGAGGGCACCAAATCCCATTACAGATGGTTGTGAGCCACCATGTGGTTGCTGGGATTTGAACTCAGGACCTCTGGAAGAGCAGTCAGTGCTCTTAACCACTGAGCAATCTCTGCAGCCCCCTTTTTGTGACTTTTAAAACTAAATATTTCCTTACTTTATAGCAAAATACAATGATCCAGTTATCTTTTGTATTTTCCCAGTCCAGCCTTGCAATCTATCATTTAGGAAAACTCTAGTTTCTTTTCCCTGGGAACTTTCCTTTTGACATTTTAATGTATGTGTATAATGTGTTTTTATTATATTCATCTACCTTACAGGAGCTATTTTAGTGCTATATCATAACTTCTGCCTTCTCAGTATTAAAAGCAAAAGACATGTAAGGGTATATGCAAAATCTAGATATGCGATTACATACTTATCTCTAACCATATATGTACTATATGTACATATACATAAATGGAATGCATTATGAATAATACATATGCCAAGGTTAAAGCTAGTCTTTATTGTTTGTATCTTTGCAAATTTTTTGTCCAACAGTAAAAAACTTATTTTCCACCATCAATATTTAATCATCTGCAGAATTCTAGAATTTCCAGAAAACACTCTCAGAACTGCTAGACCACCAGACTATAAAACACAAGTCTACCTAGAACTGGTTTTGGTCCTTTTCACCTTTAGACTGAAGACACATAATTAAAGTATTGTTTTAAATGTAACTTAGGTAACTTTTCCACTCTCCACAACTCCAGATAGGCTTTCTTGTTCTTTATTTTTTTACTTTAATTAGGATTGTTTAAAAATCATTTCTCACTTCTGTTGAATTCTGCTTGTTTTGTTTGAGACAGTCTCACTATATAGTTCTGGCTAGCCTAGAACTCACTATGTAGACCAGGTTGGCCACAAAATCCAGAAATCCAACTGCCTCTTCCTGACCCCCTCTTTGTTTTTCTTGTATTACTTTAAATTGTAAAATATCAATCTCATTTCCCTAAGGCCATAATCTTACCATATTCTTCCAGCTCATACCCACTCATCCTCAAAACTACATTTTCTTTTTACAAGTTTAGAACATATACTTTGAAATTTATTGCTAACAGTTACCATTCTGTTTTATAGCTTATATATCAAAGAATGAGCAATTTGTCTAATTACACTCCCATGTACAGTTTACTTCTAATAATTACTAGTATAACAGAGTCCTGTAGATATTGTCATACATTTCAAGAAACATCTGTAAAGTAAATTCTTAAATATGAAATTGCTGTAAACCCACTGGGACTCGTGCACACATGCACACATATGTGCGGACACACACACACATGCACAGAAGTAGGAGAGAGGTTTGTTGACAAGGGCTGCAACAGGAGAGGGCAGGGATGAGAGTGAGTGATGGGAGTGTTAAATGAGCAAAATTCATTATTTTCATGTATGAAACTGTCAATGAATTAAAGATCGCTGGGTTATAAAGTAAACATGTAGTTTGCAAGCTGTACCAAGAGTTAAATCACTTGGTATAAACCAGTTGGTTGCTATTTCAATACACCCTCACCAAGGGCAAATTATCAAAGCTTCTTAACCTTGGGCAATATATGTGGTTAAGAATTAGTATCTCAGTGCAGGAGTGAATGATGTGACTACTGATGAAAAAACGGCTGTGTTTTCCTATTGATTTGTTTTGTTCTATTTCCAACAGACTTACTGCAACTGAGGTGAGGCAGAAAGGGAAAATTAAGGATCTGGGATGGAAAGGTCCTCGCCCTGCAGTCTGAAGTCTCTCACCAGCTGAGAGGTAAGAATTCAGCATAACTAGTCAGGATGTAACTGTGCACGCCTTTAATCCCAGCATTCTGGAGGCAGAGGAAGGCGGATCTCTGAGTTTGAGACCAGCCTGATCTACAGAGTTCCAGGATAAGTAGGGCTACACAGAGAAACCTGGTCTCAAAAAATAAAAATAATAATTCCAGCACAATTAAAAAAAAACTTTGCTGGGAAGTTGCCTACATGGAAATAATATTTCTTTTTATAAATAAGAATATTATAATAGCAACAAATCATGTCTAAGGCCAAAGTGTATGTGACCGGGTATGGCTTATCCCCTTTCCTGTAAGCCAGTCATTTATTCTAGGATTCTCATGAGCAAGACTAAAACTCCACTAAAAGTAAAAGGCTTGTCTTTTTAAATTTTATATTTTTGGTTTTGTTTCTTGTTTGTTTGTTTTTGAGACAAGATTTCTCTGTGAAGCCCTGGCTGTCCTGGGACTTGCTCTGTAGACAAGGTTGGTCTGGAACCCAGAGATCTGCTTGCCTCTGCCTCCTGAATGTTGGGATTAAAAACATGTGCCACCACCACCCTGCAAAAAGACAGGTCTTAACCTCCTGTGCAACGTTAGTGAACCATGGTTTTACCTGATCAAACTACAATATTAGCCCAAAGCATCTCTCTATTGAAGCACGAACCTAAAACCTCTTAATAAATTTAAACTCCACTTTATATTGACTCGATTAGAAATTCTTCTAGGGTTGTCAGGAATCCTGTCTTCTCAAAGGAACACTTCAGGCCACTCCAGTAGCATAGTGTGTAGCTATATCTACAGATCCCACCCTACTACCACTAATATGCTTAGAGACTTTCCCCTTCGGATATTCGCCAGAATCCTTACTTTGTTATTCTGAAGCTTGGGTTTTCTTGAAAAGTCATGGAAGCAAACTTAATTTCTTTTTAAAAAATCTAACTACTTTCTGCTACTTTTTTCCTTTAAAAAACTAAAGGACTCGTCCAAATTCCCTTATGTTAAGCCTTATTTATGATCCAGGTTAAGCCAAAGAACGACCTGTACCAGAGGAAATGTACGGGAAGAATCCCATTGATTTCCCTGTTGTAATGCTTCGTTAAACTGAAATACTGAGCTCCAAAAATCTAGTATCTCGAAATAGTCAGGAGCTGTTAGGACCAAGAGAAGGGCGAGGGACCCTGTGAGGCCAGAAAAGCCACGCGTCTAATTCTAAGTCTCCCGCCAAGGCCGACCTTTCAGTGAGCTTTGGTTAAATGCTTCATGCCACGCAACTTTCTCGGGTCCTCCTGCTCCAGGATGTGGTTTTCTCCAGGGCTTTTATTTCCCGAGCAGGTTTACAGGTTCTTTCTGCTCTCTCCCCTGGCAGCAAGCCGCCGTCTCTTCCCCCCGAAAATCTCTGGGTTGCAGGAGAGCAGATGGGCAGCCAGAAGGGTGTCTCCCCTGTCTTCCCGCGGCGGGCCTCCTCACCTGTGGGTAAAGATGCTCCATGAACTGCTCCCGCGAGACGCCCCGAAGCCGGGGCACCGGAAGACGCTGCTCAGCCATTGTGGCTCGGACTAGTTTTCACAGGCCTGGGAATTTGGACGAGTTCGTCCACGTGTGATTTCCCCCGGAAATCATCACCCCGGAAGAAAAGGTCCGCGAAGGTGACTAACTCCAGAAGAAAGCTGTTCGAAGCGTGCGGCTGAGAGCCCTAGGGCCTCGGCCTGGGCAGTGCTTACACAGCTGAGATGGGAGGACTCACCAAAGGTGGCAGCAGCTAGGCGGACTTCGTTCCACTTCTCCAACACTGGCGAGCTGGTTTCCCTCCGGCCAGCTTTCGGTACTGCACAGGCATGCAGAGGTGAAAGGTTACAAACATGGCGCTGGCCGCCCGTCTCCTACCTCTGCCTCTGCTTTCTCGGCCGATGCCAGGCCGAGCCACTCGACTCCGGACTCTCGGTACCACCGAGGTGAGGCTGACGCTGACTGAATTTTGCTGCCTGTGCCGCCGTCGCCTGGGCTCAAGCGCGGCTCCGATCCCTCGCAGCACTTGGCCCTGGGCAAGACCAGCGTTGCGTCCCTGGGGCCCCCGAAGGCCCCTTCTCGGCCTGGCGGAACATCCTTCAGCCCTTGCTTCTTTACCCGCTAGTCCCAGCCGCAGCTACAGCACCGAGGAGCAGCCGCAGCAACGTCAGAGAACCAGAATGATCATTCTGGGATTTTCCAATCCTATCAACTGGGTCCGGACTCGAATTTACGCCTTCCTTATCTGGGCCTATTTCGACAAAGAGTTCAGCATCGCTGAGTTCTCTGAAGGGGCGAAGCAGGTTTGTTAGCTTCCCTAACTGACCTCTCTGCCTCGTGCATTCAGCGCTTACGTACTCAAGTGTTTAGCCGTGAAATTTCTTCATTGCGACCCATGTTATCCAACGATGGTAGTGACCTACACATTGACTCTTTTAGCCATTTCTTGATTTTAATAAGCTTCTAAGTGTGTTTGCATGGTCGTCAAGGAGGAGGGGTTTAAGAAACTAGGGTGAAGGTCTAAGTTCAAAGCCTGTTTGTTCCTCCCACTTTAAAACTAGTTAATCCTTTTTCTGGGTATGATTTTTCCAGAATTAGGAAATTAGAGAAGACAGTGCCTGGCACACATAGTAGGCACTTCATAAGTATTTGTTAAATAAATTGAATAGATGAAGTTATGGTGAGGAATAAGATGATGTGGCCAAAGTAATATCATTTCAGGTACAAAGGCAGACCTTCCTACCACTTGTTTGACAGAGCTGTATTGCCTTCCTCATTCTCTACCTGTATATTCCGTCAAGGATAAGAGTTTGCTGAAGCTACTGGTCTGCTAAGTGTCCAGCACACTGATGATTCCTACCTCTGACTTTGCCTATCATGTCCTTTCTGAAGGGCAAGTGATGTTGCCTTACAATGGTCACTTTAAGTCCGGAGATCATTTACAGAGTTTGTGTGTACATGCCTTTCTTTCTAGAATGGAAGGTTATTTTAATTTTCCTTTCAGTTTTCTTAGTTTGTCAGCCCTTAGCATTTCAGAACTGTTGATTAATACAAAGATAGAAGTCGTAGTTTAATCCCCAGTTCATACAGGAATAGACTATCAGCATAATAATTTAACAATATTGACTATATGTTGGTATTTATAATTTTATTCCTGACTTATTCAGATTTCTCCCAGTTCCTAGCCATTTATACTCAACTCATGTAGTTGTAAATGAGTTGTCAACTTTGTGTACTCTGGGCCAGTATTAAGTCCTGTTTCCTTACATCAACTCTTGGCTAATATATGTCTTTACAAAAATAAAAGCAAGCAAACTTGAGTGATAACGCCTACCTCAGTATCATGATGAAAGGGTGAATTTGCCAGTCTGTGTTCTCTGTGTCAGTTGTCCATAGAGAGGTAAATTGGTGTGATCTCTGCAGTCCCCATGTGTGAGTCTGCTTCACCACCCATACATAACTACACTAGTTCAGGAATGGAAATCATCATACAACATCAAATTGAAAGGGCCTCTTGTCCAGTCCTTGTTTAGACATGATAAACCCAAGTTTTAGAAACGTTAAACTTAGTATGCTAGTAACCACACTGTCCAAAAGTAGTCTTGGTGCTAGAGAGATGGCTCAATGACTAAAGAACATCTTTCAGAGATCCTAAGTTCAATTTCTAGCACCCACGAGGTATCTTATAACTAACGCTAGTTTGGAAGGATCTTACCAGGGTAGGCTCATTATGATTCGTTATTACATTTTAGGGCAATTTGCTCAGGTATGAGTTTGACCACACAAACAAGAGATGAGGTTTCTGAATGATGGTTATAGTGCCTATTGTCTGGATTATCACTCATGGTGCATGTGAGAACTTAGCAAACATGCAAGATCTCTGATCCTGAGTGTCTTTGTAGTGTTCAGGGAGATCTTGAATCCATTTGGTTATGTGTGTGTTCTCAAAAGTCATCTGCATTGAATTGTAGTAGTTTGCTAGGACTATTATAGAGGGGGTTTCAGACTAAACAGCTTAAACAGAAGTATTCCAATATCTAGAGATGAGAAGCTTTGCTTTCTCCCAAGGCCACTACATTTGTTTATGTCTGACACATTTCCTCCTGTCGTAAAGGTACCAATGATACACTAACCACCTGGTTTTTAAAATCACTTCTTTAAAGGTATTGCATCACATTCCAGGGTCTTAGAGTTTAGGGCTTCAACATGAGCATGGCAGAGAGACAGTTCAATTAGTAATAATTTGCAGAGTTCTCTGTCTCACATGGTCTCTTTTCTCCAGCCAGTATTCAGGTTTCAGCTACTTCCTTTAGGGAGCCCTTTGTGGTCCTCTAAGATTAGATGGTTCTCTGTGTGCTTCTTATATCTTATATTCTTGAACTTGTTGGCTAACTTGTCTTCTCTCAGCCAGCTTGAAGCTCCTGAAATACAAATGGGATCTGAATGTACCAGCTTTTTTCTCATGGCTGAATGTGGAGAATTGTGGTTTCTCTTCCCTCTGCTTAAAATAAGACATCATACCTCAGGTTGAAATTCACTGTCTTAGATTATAAACTATTTCTCTTTTCTCTCACTTTTCTAAACCAAATATATATTTTAGAGAGGTTCTATCTATAGTCCAGACTTCAAGTACAATCTAGACTCTAGAGTGTCTTACTTTCTAATTGCTGTCTGTAAATGATTAAGAGGTATATCATAGTTGTTTATATAATCATTTTAAAATAAAATACAAGGCAATTTTTACTGAGATATCTAGTATATATGCCACATACTGTCATTTCCCAAGACCTAGAAATGGATTCATAATTTGTAGTCAGCTCATTTGCAACTGTGAATGCAGCCAAGCCATCTGAGAAAAGTCAATCAGCTTAAAAGTAGTCATGTCCGACATTATTGTAATAGTTTTTGCTATTATATTTACCATAAAGCAGTTTTTGCTACACTAACCATTTAACTATGTATGTTGTATGCTATTTTATGTGATGTTTTGAAATAACTGTCATCTTTACGCTCCTATCTTTTCAAGGCTTTTGCTTATGTATCCAAGTTGCTGTCACAGTGTAAATTTGATCTATTGGAAGAACTTGTAGCCAAAGAGGTAAAGTGTTCTTTTAATTTAAAAAGTCTATGATTCTTGCAACAGAATGATGCATGCATGGTTTCACTTCTGCTTTCAAACAGTACATGTGCCAGTGGAGAGTGTCTGTCCTTAATGGTACTTTGGGTCATAAAAGTTGGAATGACTCCTGCCACTTAACAGCACAGATAGGCAAATGTTGTGCTTTCCAGTTGTTCATATGTGTAATGTTTTATTAGGAATTACCTAGTTGAATAACTAGACATCTTTCAGTTTCATTTCCAAGGATGAATAGGTAAAGTATTTTAAAAATGAGTCTTGAAAAATTCCAAAATAAGCATCACTTTTTTAAATACTTTAAAAACTGAATGAATAAACTGCTTCTTTTCCCAACTCAGGTGCTGCAGGTGTTAAGAGAAAAGGTTGCTTCGTTGTCTGACAACCATAAGAGTGCGCTTGCTGCAGACGTAGATGATATTGTCTACACGTCAACAGGCGACATCTCCATCTACTATGATGAGAAAGGTAACGGTGGCCGAGGCAACTTTACATGACCAATAATTGTTCAAATAAGCCAAAATTGTGAGTACCACAGGACAGAGGACTTCCGTCTATGAGCAAATGTCCGTAGCCTTCCAAAGCCTATATCACTTGGCTAGTTTGCAAAACCAACCCAGTATACATAATAAAAAAATATGAATTTGAAAAGAAAGAAAAATTACCATATTATATTTACTGATTAAAGACCAAACTGTAAGAGTTGATGCCTGGTAGTAGATTCTAGCTAGATCTCTACCTAGTTACTGTTTACTATACAGCAGGAAAATCCAGAGTCAGGTGTGGAGGCTCAGTCCTTTAATCCCAGCAGAGGCAAGAGGATCTCTGAGTTCAAGACCATGTAGGATTACATAGAGGGACCCTATCTTGAAAGAAAGAAGAGAAATCCTTACATATGTTGATGAAAATGGGTTGTTAAGACAGGCTCCTCCCATGTCTTATATAAAATTATTAATGTTTCAGATTTTCTAAAGTGTAGGAAACTTGAGCTTCTTACATGTCTAGCTGCGTGTTACTCGGAAGGAATAAAGTATAAAAGAAAGCCAAGACAAAAGTACCAGATAAACACACATAAGAATAAAGACTCTCAAAGTCCAGGTGGAATCAGATAGTAATGGTAAGGTTGAAGTAGCCTTGGTGGTTATATGCTTCTTTTCCTTTTCCAGTGCATGAATTTTCCAATAGCACACCTGAAAGTTCATTGATTAACCATACCATCTTCAGATTTTTGTATATACATTACAAGGTGGACACACAAGAGAAATAGCCTCTGCTCATATTCTTAAGGCAGTGACAGTAGAGGACTTGTAGTAGATAATTTCGCATGCAAGTTAATTTGAAATATTTGGAAAGGTGTCTTGGCTGATAATTTCTTCTTCATTAATATTTCAAATTCTGTCTTAGCACCATGGTTATTAACTGAGTTACACATACATTATGAGACGTAAGGCGCAGCAGAGTAAGTTAGGGTAGAAGAACAAAGGCCTTCCTTTGGGACAGTTAAAATAAAGTAGGGGCAAAAATGTAGCTGCGGCTTCTTTCTTCACCAGGTATTTGCCTTGAGGTTGTTTTAATTTTAGAAAGTGGTATAAGCTGAGAATAACCATGTGGTACACTCAGTAAAGAAGATGTTCAGCACAGTAGTAATTGGATACTGAGTTGAAAAGCAGGCAGAAGCCTAAGAGAGTTTTCCGTAAAGAAAACAGCATTAATTCATTTAAGTTACATGTGAGTGTGCAGAAATACTGGTCTGCAGCAGCCTACTGTTCGTGGTTTCATTTTGGACGTGTGGCTGATAGATGGTTCTGATTTTGTGTGTATGTGTCTGTGTTTTCTCTCTAAGGAAGGAAGTTCGTTAACATCCTGATGTGCTTTTGGTATCTGACTAGTGCCAACATCCCCAGTGAGTCCTTAAGTGGAGCCAACGTGTTCCAGGTGAAGCTGGGGGATCAGAGTGTGGAAACTAAGCAGCTGCTCAGTGCGAGTTATGAGTAAGTGCGACTCCATTTCCTCTCCTTGTCCAGGAAATAGAAGGGACTCTCAAAGATGGGAAACTAAAGAGAGCTTTTTAAGAAGAACAGAATTGAAATTTGACAGGCTATTTATGAAGAAAAAAAGTCATGAAGATACACTGAGTAAGAAATAGGATTGGATTGTCAAAATTTAAAAGTGGTAGTGCTTCTGCTGGGCACAGTGGTGACTCGGACTTCTCATCCTAGCCTCAGGAGGGAGAAACAGGCAGATCTCTGTGATTCCAAAGCCAGTCTCGTCTACACAGTGAGTTCCAGGCCAGCCAGGCTACACAGCAATACTGTGTTTCAAAGGGGGAAAAAAAAACCAAACCCATAGTCAACAGCTTGAAACAGTTGTTGCTTTATGAGTTATGGAAACTGAGCTCCATGGCTTCCTCCGCCTCACCTGGCATCAGCGAGGGTCTCAGGGACAGGAGGATTCATTCCCACGGTGGCTTCATCTGTCATGTGTGACATCTTGGCCCTCTGTGGCATCTCTTTCTCTAGGACTTTTACAGCTTGGCTCTCACAGCCTTAGTTTAACTTGTGACACTATTTGCCTAGTACTGGATGCCAAGAACTTGGAAAGTGATGGGCGCATAAAGAGAACTAAAGCAATATTCTTTTGCTGTCAGAATTCTCACAGGATTGTACAATTTAAAGGACACATAAACACACCTTAGTCTCTATTTTGAAGAACAATAAATACCAAGGTCACATTGCAGATGTGTATATGGGGTGAAACATAAGGTGCCTCCATCTTTGAAATTCCCACCTGCCATAGTTGTCATAAGTCTTACTCATTCACAGGACATTTACCTATAACCTTTCATATGCTAAACACCCCAGTCAGATGCAGAATTGAAGGGAAACTGCCTGCTCTTAAAGAGATTTAAAAAAGAGAATTTTTTTTTTGTAATTTTGGAAAGGTGAGCAGCTAAATAAAACAAGTCGGTGGAGACACTCTCAGAGAATACTACTGTTATTTTGCCAACCATATACACGTTTGCTTTAAAGTAATAAAACAAATGCCAAATGTGTCCTAAGGAGAAAATGTCTTCTGTTTCACTGAGTAACAAAGTTCCTGAGTTCATTGTTTTCACTTGTGTAAAGATTGCTTGTTCATGCGCTGGGGTCTTTTGTTTGTTTTGAGACAGGGTCTCCCTGTATCCCTGACTAGTTCACATCTTACTCTGTAAACCAGGCTGATCTACAACTAACAAAGATCCACCGCCCGTCTCCCGAGTGTGGGGATTAAAGTAGTATGCCACAGTGCCTGGCCTGAGGAATGTGTTCTTGTTTTTATGCTTTGATTATAATTAATCAAAATTTTCTCTAGATACTAAATACTTACTCAATTTAAATATATTAATTGCCTCTTTTAAAATATTTTTATAATTAAGATCTATATCATCAGTACTCAATTATTTTGTCTCTTGATATTCCTCATACAACCAGGGTGGCTTAGAACTACTGAGAGTAGGGGCTGGGGAGATGGTTCAGAAGATCCAAGTTCAGTTCCGAAGCCCTATAACCACCTACAATCCAGCATCAGGGAGAGTTCATGCCTCTGACCTCCATGAGCACCCACGTCTCCATATGCACACACACACAAGCAACTAAAAATAAAGTCCTTTTTAAAAACCGGTACTCTAAAGATGGGGTTAATATATATCAACTGAGCCAGATTCCATTATTTTTCACTAAATTGGTAACAGTGTGGTTTGTTAAACAGAGTGTCCTGTATGCTGATTTATATATTTAAAGTGCTTTTATATTACCAGAGTTCAGTTATTTCTGCTCATATTAGACATGTGCTTTGTAAATATTTAATAACAGGAGCCGAGTTTCTTTCAGGGGCTATTGAGTGTTGAATATAGATCAGACTGTTAAAAGTGCTAGAGTTAAGAGTGTACTTTAGTATTTCTGGTATTGTTCTGATTAAATTAAAAGAGTAAACATTTTAAGTTTCATTTACCATTAACCATTGAATTAGCTTCTTGTTAATACTGCTTTTAATTCATGCTTGCCACTTGTAGTTATCTGAGAATATTTGAGTTGATAGAATATCACGATATTTATGTTTTTCCTAGATTTCAGAGGGAATTTACACAAGGAGTAAAGCCTGACTGGACTATTGCACGGATTGAACACTCAAAGCTACTAGAATAATCTTTCTTGGAAAAAAAATCAGGGCGTGAACTCTTAAATAATTGCTGTGAAAAACTAAGGAAGACAAGTTCTGGATGATTTGACTTTAACTTAATTAAGTCTGTGGATTACTTAATTAAGTCTGTGGATTACTTTTGCATTATTTGCAAATACTCAGTATATTGACCTAATACAATAAAGCATTTTCCACAGATTGGTAGTGTTCTTTGAAGGTCAAAGTAAAACACAAAACTAAAGCACCACATTGGTGTCATGTTTAACATCATTCTAATGCTACATATGTATATATGTTAAACACAAAACTACAGCACCACACCACATTGGTGTCCTGCTTAGTGTCATTCAAGTGATATATGTACATGTGACACAGACTAGTTTTATGTGTATTATTGAAACTACTATATATCTCTAAATTAATGATCTGAGTTTCTGTAAGATTTCTCTTACAAGCCACTGAGCCTAGTATGGTTTGATCACTATCCAGATTAGGACTGGATAGAACCATACCGGCTTGACCTCCGTAGGACAGCCATGTTTGTTTACTGTTCACAACAGCGAAGAAATGGAGCCAGCCTAGATGTCCGTCAGCAAGCACTGGAATTCATGAAGAAAATGTGGTGCATATACACAGTGGGAGTTTATTCAGCTGTAGGGAAAAGTGAAATCATGATATGAAGAAAATGAACTGGAGATCATTCTGCTAGGTGAAATGAGTCAGACACGGACAGCGATCTCATGGCTTATAGTGTGCCATCTAGACTTCAGTTCGTGTGCATTGGGGAAGGCCATGAGAGTAGAATGGGTACTAAATGAGGAGCAGAGGAGATTTTAGGGGAAGGAGGGTAACAGAGCACGTGTGATGTGGAATGGAAAGGCTTAAGTTGGGGAGAAGGGCTGGGGAGGGCACAGAGGGTAGTGGGAGACGGATGAGAATGACTAAAGTATAATGCTGTGTTCATGTGACATGCCTAATGAAACAGTACTTGGTATGTTAAGACGCTGATTTTAAAAAGGAAACTTGAATCATAGGAAAGCACAGGAATCAGAAATAGAGCTCCATAAAGGTAATCTTACATGCTTGGATTTGAACTCCTACAGGTTGCATCAGGGAGACAAAAACTATGGTAAGGGAAAAAAAGGACTAAAGGTTTTTCTGCGTGATAAAAACTATAAACCAGAACTAAGAAATTCAACAAGCAAGATCACTTATTTTTGAGGTTGTAATGTAATTGTACCATTTCTCACTTTCCTCTCCTCCCTCTGAACTCTCCCATATACCTCCTTGCTCTCTTTCAAATTCAGGGCCTGTTTTTCACTGATTGCTGTTATATGCAGTCTGTAAATGTTTTGTGTATGTTTTCAGAACTGACAATTAGACAAACCAATTGGTGTGCCCTTCTCTGGGGAAGACTTTGTCCAACTCAGTCCGCATTTTCTACTTGCCTGTACACTCTTGTGTAGAGCATAGTACATTTTTAAAAGATCTCATATGAAGTATCATAGTGAAATTAATTGGAAGCTAGGCAGTATTGCAAAAACATCTGGAATGCAGGATCCGTGGGTTGAGGAATGGATATTCCATACACAGAAACCAAGGAAAGGTTAATATATACTTCTTTTCCCAAATTTCAAGTGGGAGATACTGGGTAACATCTTTAAACACTGACATAGAGTACTACCTTTTTAGAAAAATAAATGTGACAGAAAGCTTTCAGAGAGAAACTATAAACAGATTTGTTACTAGTAGATGTTTCAAAATTGCTAAGGACCTTTGAACAAAATTAAGTTCAGGAATTGAACCATACATATATGGACAAGTGATTTTACCATGGTATCAGAGTAAATCAATAAGGAAAAGAGTCTCCAACAAACGGAACAATAGATGCTCATACCAGATAAGAGCTTTACAAAATGCACAATAGACTTAAGAGCCAAAAGTAGAGAATCTAGAAAGAAGCAGGAGACATTTCTGCTGCCTTGGATAGGCAGAATTCTTTGGGAAGGGTTAAGGGTTGTGGGCAGTAATCATAACCAGGAAAGTTTTCATCAAGGTGAAATTGCTCTTTGAAAGACAGCAGTAAGAACCAAAGGTTCACAGGTAGTGAGGAAATGCATGTATCTTGCAAAGGCATAACCAGAATGCATAAGTAATCCTTACAGCTAAATAATAACGTGCTATACAGTGTGTCAGATACTAGGCAGACAATTTGAGGTAAATTACAACGCTAGTATATATAGCTGCACCCCAGTCATCTGGAATTGTATTCTGGTGACACAAACTTAGCAGGACAGCTTGTGACAGCTGCTGCTTTAGTCTTTATGTTGACTGCAGTAACCACACCAGTTGTGTCCTCTGGCTTTATTTTTGGGTCAGTTCCACAGGTACAAGTGGCTGCATCTGGTGATGGCCTTCTTAGAGGACCTTACCTGTCAGACATGGGAGCACCTGGGTATATGTCTCTGATCCTTTACAAGCCACTAGGTAGTCACGGTCTCACCCCAATGACCTCATTCAAAGACCTGCCTCCAAATACTATTGATTAAATTTCACTTTCTTCATAAACTACAGTAGGGATCAGGTTGCCATGCATAAAGCCTATGAGAGCACTCAGACCACATGCCAACCAACAAAACTGATACCAACTGTTGAAGACTTAGAGTAACTGGAGCTCGTGTACCCTGCTCAAAAGGAGGCAAAAATAGTGCAGGCACTTTGGAAAAGAGTTTGGCAGCTTCTTATTGAAAAGACTTACTATAGGATCTCTGGTAGTTTGAATGACAAATCTGTATAGGTTCACATACTAAACACTCAATCCCCAGTCAATTTGGAAAGGTATGAACAAAGGGAATTGTTAAACCTTGGAGAAAGTACATCACCTTGACCAGCTTCTAACATCATTCCACTTTTGGCTTGCTCTCTCTCCTTCATGTTTGAAAATGATCTCTTAACTTTCTGCTCTGGCTGCCTTCTGTCCCGCCCTCTCCCAATACACATACTGCTATGGACTCCCTCTGAAACTGTAAGCCAAAATAAACTCTTGGAGAAGTCTCTTTGGATCGTGGAGTTTAATTACAACAAAAGGTAATGCAGGACCACCCAGTTCCATTCTCAGACATTTATCCAAGGAAAGCAAAAAATTCTCTATGTAATGATTTGTACGGATATAACAGGGTTTTGGTTGTTTTGTTTTCCTCTCTCTGCCTTCAAACTGAACAGTCCTGATGAACACGACAAATGGAGAGAGACAAGCCAAATGACTTACTCAACTGTGCAATTGTATTTCTGAAGAATTTTAGCAAAGAGGGTCTACAATTCAGTAGGTGCTCAGGATTTCACAATCAGAGCTGGGGTGGGGTGGGAGGAGTGGAGTTTGATAAGGTAGGTCTGGGGGATGTGATTAACATGGCGGTGTATCTCGGCTAGCAGTGGCTACGTGACTAGACAATTACGACTCAGCAAAGTCAGCTTAAAATGGAAGAATAATGCTGTGGGGTCTTTGTGTTTGTGTAATTTATAACTAGAGTTTATGGTAAAGCATTTTGTTAAAAAAGATGAAATGATTCTGTTTTTATAAAGTGTTTCAAAGCCTAATCTATAGTCCCTCTGTATTTAGGTCTAATCCTCATGTAATTTCATTTAATACTTCACAGATGAAATACACCTAGATGAAATGGGATAGTTAAAATGGAAAGAACTAGAAGTTGCAGCCAGTTATCACTTGCTATCAAGTTTTAAGATACATCCCAAAATATTTTTAAATGGATGAGGAAAGTGAGTTACAATCAGGTATTTCTGTTTGTCAGTTATCTTTCAGTAAAGCTGGAGGCAGGGGTGGGCAATATCTATGCCTAGATCATGGTCTTCATGATTTCAGTGAAAGTATTCTTCAGTATATTCTTGGTATGCAGAAAATAAGTCTGAGAAATACTCATGTATGAGGAAAACACCATCAAAGATATCTAGAATAATGTCCAAAGGACAAGCCAACTTGAAAGAGTTTCTACTGGAACAAAGAAGCCAACTTGAAAGAGTGTCTACTGGATAAGATAGGCAGCAGTCAGATCAGGAGTTTCATAAACAACACAACAGTTTTTGAAAGCCATTGGTTTCTTCCAAACACAAAAATACTTTTTTATAACCTAGAAAGTCGTTAGTCAACTAATTTCATCATAAAAATTGGTCAGAAGCATTTCTGATAGCCGATATTGATAGTGAACTTGATAGGATCTAGAATTACACAGGTGGCAAGCCTCTGTGAACACCTGTGAGGGCATTTCTAGATTAGATTAAGGAAGGTGGGAAGACACTATTCCCTGGCCTGGTGTCTTAGGTTGAATAAAGAGATAGAGAGATGGGTACTGCTTCCATACTGTGGATACAATGTAACCAGACGCCTGAAGCTTCTGCTATCATGATTGTCCCACCATGATGGAAATACCCTGAAGTGTGAGCCCAAATAAAAATTTCCTCCCTTCAGCTGTTTTTGTCCGGATATTTTATCACAGCCATAGATATTATTGTGAGTTAAAGCAGTTGGTCACTTTACAAACAGTTTAAAAAAAAAAAACAGCCAAGAACAATGAATAGTGTGTTCAGCTGCTTTCTCCTTTCATTCAGTCCAGGACCCAACCCAGAGAGTGGTTCTGCCCACTTTTCGGATGGGTATTAACATCTTAATAACTTATAAACATGATCCCTCAGAGGATTGTCTCCAAAGTGGTTCCAGACCCTAACAACACTAACCACTGCTCAAAACAGAGCCACAACTTAGAAACTTAAGGTAGTATCATTCATTCTACTCCTCTGTTAGGAATCTGAGCCTGTATGACATAGCTCTGTGTGTGTGTGTGTGTGTGTGTCTGTTTTCTGGCTTTGCTTCACCTTGCATCACCAGGGTCATTTGAAATTCTATTCTGTCTTTTTATTTTATTATTTAATGTATATGAGTACACTGTAGACGTCTTCAGACACACCAGAAGAGGGCATCTGTCCCATTACAGATGGTTGTGAGCCACCATGTGGTTGCTGGGAATTGAACTCAGGACCTCTAGGAAGAGCAGTCAGTGCTCTTAACCACTGAGCCATCTCTCCAGCCCTCTTTCAGGGTTTTTGTTAAGCTTTGTTAGGCTCTATCTAGAGTAGCCTCAAGTAGCAAGTACTGGCTTGCATTGCCGGAAATGCCCTTCTTTATT